TCCATCAGTGGCGTCAGGACTCTCCTCCCTGCCAAAGTGGGGAACATTTGTGAACCACTTTTACTCTAGCTGTTTTTCTCTTGCAGCCCACAGGGGTAGTAGTTGGCAGCTTCTTCACAGAGTGCAGTTCTGTCTGGCACAGGTCAGAATCCCTGACTTTGCTGGCAGGAAGGATCCCTGGTGCACATGTGTCTGGACACTGGCAGGGTTCATCCCATTTTCTGGAAATTCCTACTGCAGCTGCTTTCCAGCACTTCTCCAGAGATTGTCTCCTGCCCCACCTGTGATGGTCGTAAATAACAGCATAGCATTACACTGTGAGCTGAGACAATCATTTTGTTGAACTTGTATGGGCAGAGTTTTTCTGTGGCATCTGCTCCCTCCTCAGGGATCTTTTCACACAGCATCTTAACCTTGGAAATCCTCCTCCTGGGTTATCAGAGTTGCTTGCTCCATGAGATGAGAGCGCTGTCGGGCACCAATTAGAAACTGCATACACAAGAGGTCAAACTGGATATATTTTGCATCTCAGAACTTGTTAGTGTGTGTAGTGTTAATGCTGCTTAAAAGTAGAAAACTGAAAGTACATCCTGTTAGGCATTTCCCTGCAGCTCTTCATATGAGTGATTAAAAACACCACAGGGAGGGAAGAGTGTCGGGATGAAGGTGTCGAACTCCAACTTACTTTAGTTTAACCAGCTGTGCTCATGGATGGGTGCTTCCGCTGAATGTCAGGAGTGCAATCCAGGGGGAAAACTGATATGATAAAGCACAGAAAATGGCATCGGTACAGAGGCAGATGTGAATGGAGTGGGAAATTAGATACAGGAAGTGGAGAGACATTCGTGTTTTGACATGGAAGTTAAACTGAATGAAGTTGAGAGGACTTTTCCTTCCAGGTAGCTTTATCAGGAGTCATGGTTCAGTTTGAAACCTGGGAAGACAAAAACATTGCACAATGTCAGTGGGAACTTTACGGTAGCAGTTCAAAAAATTGGAAGTATAGGTGAAAATACTTAAATAGAAAACCCTTGAAAAGGATGGCTTGTGACTTCCAGTGGCGTTCCCGTTGTGGACTACAGCTGACAGGATATTGCAGTTCTTGAAATAACACAGGCTAGGCCTGATCCTACTGCATGACATTATTTGGCTGCTTTTGCAAACGAAAGAGCAGGAACAGAGCCTGCTCTGGGAAACATAAAATAGAGGGGCAGCGGTGTTTTAGTTCTTCCAGTGCTTTTCTCTTTTAATCCTCAGTTCCTGAATTCATATGACTGCATGAGGCTATCGAATTTCGTATGAGTAAGGGGGAGTAAATTTATAGCCCTGGTATTAGCAGTGGAAATGTTGGACTGTATGAACTCTGAGGGTTCAAACAGAAAGCATGAAGTCCCAGTTTCATCATTAAAACTCGTATTTTAAAATCCTTGGAGTTGTCCATAATGTGAAAGTTGTAATTCAAGTGTCACACAGAAAAATGACAAAAAATTATGATGTTATTTCCTGTTATACGTACCTGGCATGGGCCAGACTTACAAAAAGGTAAAGCACTACATCATTTAGATTAAGCTCATAACCAGACTTCCTTTACAGGCTTTGTTTCCAGTTCCCTCTTCCCTCATACTTAACTGCCTCCGCACTACTGGATTTTGTTCAAGCAGTTTCTGATCTAGTATTTCCATGTCTGCTCTTGGACTTGGGGTCAACATAAAGAGAATGTCAATTCCCTTATGTCAATATGCTTGTGGAGATATCTGATCTAGTGGAAGTATTTCATGCACGTAGTCAATATCAGGCTTGCTTCTTTCTTAAAATACTTTTTTTCTTGAGACACAATAAATAAAGCTTAATCTTGCATTGGGTTTTCTATTAAAATTTGGTGGTCGCAAAAGTGAAAATTAGTCCTCCCTTGGATTTTGCAGCATAAAATCTGTGGCTTTCATCTTCAAAGCCACAACAGGCTGTTCAGAATGCTCCTTCTTTTGTGGCCTGAAAGAATTAAGAAAATATGCACATGCTTCATTTCTAATGTGTGTTTTAACTTAATCTCATAACGAGAAGATTGGTGGAAGAGAAGCAGGCGCTGTGTTGGAGTAATGAGAACAAATCTCTGGATTTTTCTTTTTAAGGGCTAATTGTTTGAATTTTTTTGTTCGTCACATTATTTCATTTTGTCCTAATTTACTTGTACTTATGTCCATGTTCCCTTCCCTAGAGGGAACTGTGAAGAAAGGATTCAAAGTTCTCTCTAATTATAGTGTATTGCTGTTACAATGGTTAATGTGCTTCAGCAGAAAATATCTCAAGACAGTTGCATCTGAAACTGGGCTCTGCTGAGTTTTGGGTTTTGTTTGGTTTTTTGAGGTTTTGTTTTGTTGGGTTTTTTTTCTTTGTGTTTTTCAGAAGCCTTTTCCTCAGTATGCATTTGTTGGTAGGTCAGTAAATCTGAGCCACCTCAGATCAAGTATGAAAATGGGGGAAAACTTCAAGACATGAAGGAGCATATGGAGCTATGAGGAACAATTTTATTAATTTAGGGAAGATCAGTGAAATTGGGGAAGGAGTGACCAACGTAATCCATTTTCTCTGCTCAGGAGTAGAGCCTTCAAGCCGCCTCTGGCTCTTGCAGTATTCAAAGTGTGCTTGGCTGAACATCTTCAGTTTCAAATCTGTCAGAATTTCTTGAGATCTTTAGTGCTCTTTATAACAATTTTTTTTTTTTTTCCCCATAATGAAGCTCTGGCCCTGCTGCCAAGGGAGCCACCAGTTGGCAGTTTTTCAAACCAGTCTTTGCAGAGGGATAGACCGAATTCAGAACAGTCAAGAAACACTTAGCAGGCATAGTTTACAAATTAAGGGACCACAGCAACGGGATGCATTAAGGGAGGTCCCTCAGTTTGGCTGTTTGAGATAGCCAGCTGGGAGATTTTGTTGCTTTCCCCAGTGGCCTTCTTGCTGTGTGGTGCAGCCTGCTTCCTTGCCCATGGAGTCTTGTGTTTATTGTGCATGCTGCTCTCTGCCTTCTCCTGTGCTGCTGGGGGCCAGGTTTGAGGTTCAGCAGTAAAAA